TCTGGAGATTACCAAAATCTACCAGACTGTTGAATATACACCTCAGCGATGTTTTAAGAATTTCGTTCGCGATGTAAGCGACGCGCGACGTCAAGGCGACGTAGACCCGACGAAATCCATAATTGCGGATACGCGTAAACTAGAAGGAAATAGTGCATTCGGATCCACAATTATGGACCAAGAAAAGTTTCAAACCGTCAAATTCGTACGCGGTGAAGGAAAGGCCATGATGGAGACAAACGAACCCACTTTTAAGAAATTATCTACACTTTTCGACGAGGAAGAGCTTTTCGAAATTGAAAAAAGTAAGAAAAAATTAAAACTGAATTTACCCATTCAGATCGGTTACTTCATCTTGCAGTATGCAAAACTGCACATGTTACAGTTCTACTATGACTTCATGGATAGATTTGTAGACCGTGCAGACTTTGAATACTGCGAGATGGACACCGACTCTGCCTACATGGCCATTTCGGGACCCACCTTTGAGTCTGTGATTAAACCTGAATTGCGACAGATTTACGATCACAGTCTCAAAGTTCACTGTGTCGACAGTTTAGAGATCGAGGCGGACTGCGATCGGCATTGGTTTCCTCGCACTTGTTGCGAGAGACACGCAAAGTTCGATCGTAGAACGCCTGGTCTCTTCAAAATTGAATTTGAAGGTGACGAAATGATAGGTTTATGTTCGAAAACTTACATCGTCTCTACGCGTACGCAGAAGAAACGTTCCAGTCAATTGATTGTAGCGCAGCGACTACTTAGACGCGCAAAGAAATGTAGGTTCAGAAAATTCCGAGTTATTAAACCACGTTTGGTGACGAACCTTAAGTTTTCTTGCAAGGGAATTTCAAAGAAAAGACTTAAAGCTCCTCTCGCCTTATTCAGAGATGTATTAAAAACTCAAAAAGTGGGTACTGGAACAAATATGGGATTCAAACTTAGAAACAACAGTGTGTATACGTATCGTCAAACAAGGAATGGTTTGACTTATTTTTACTGTAAGAGAAAAGTTTTAAATGACGGAGTTAGCACTGAACCATTAGATTTCGAGTTATGTCCTGTAAAAAGCAAAAAGGAATATGAAGGTGAAATAGATGACTTTGATCTCGAACTAGTACACATGCTCGCGGAAAGCGAGTAATTGATATTATTTGATGCATGACACTGTTGTTCGAAGAGATTGTAAATACTTTTTTTTCTTTTTTTTTTTTTTGTAAAGTTTGTGTTGCACTGGAAAGGAGTGAGGGGTCCATAACGTCACATCGTTTCATCTCTTCACTCTTGGATGTGATAATAAATGTTATCTAATATTTTCGCTTCTTCTGTAAAATCTGGAAATTATTTATGTACGTTGAATGATTGTTTATGTAGTTGACTTAAATGTGGTTAAAAAATATTACTCTAATTCATCGTTTATTTTGAAGTATCCGTGTTCAATATATACATCTACATGTATTTTTTTTTCATTATTATTTCTCATGTATTTATACTGTTACCGAATTTTAACTCAAAATTCATTTATCGTATATATTTACATACGTATATACTTGTATACACAATAAAGATTTTTGGTGTAATTAACGTTTTGTCATTTATCCCAAGACAAGGTCATAAGAAGGGTTCAGTATCTTTATATTCAAAAGCATTTTATTTAACATGGAGAGAACTTCCAGCTCGTCAACAGAGTCGTGGTGTTTAATGGGAAATAAAATTCCCAAATCTGAAATTGTCTACTTTTGTCAAATGATTGTGGTGTATATCATCATCATTACCTCAATTGTTAACTTATCTCTAAAGAACGGTTCCTCTGAACTGTGGATTTCCTTACTTAGCAGTGCAATAGGTTACATATTACCTAACCCCTCTTTAAAAACGGAAAAAATATAAGAAGGTTAATGATATTCGGATATAAGACTTAAATCTTCCAACATGTCTATTCCATTTCAACCGTGTTCGAGTATGTGTATAAGCGGTCAAACAGGAAGTGGTAAGACGCGATTTGTTTACCGCTTGTTGACTGATTTGAATGACATGTATGGTGGTGAGCCCCCTAAAAAAATTTTGTATTGTTACGGTATTCATCAACCTCTTTTTGACGATATGGAGCAGCGATTTTCTAACTTGAGATTACATCACGGGGTTCCCACAAACAAAGAAATAGAGGAACTGACCTCTGATCGACAACATACGCTAATTGTGCTGGACGATTTAATGCATCGAGTAGTCAGAGATGCCGACATGGAACTTTTGTTTACTCAAGGCTGTCACCACCGACGTCTCAGTGTAGTATTCATTACACAAAATTTATTTCCGAAAGGTTCAAAGTCAAGAACCATAGCTTTAAATACCTACTATTTGATACTGATGAAAAATGCCAGAGATGCATCGCAAATTTCAATGTTGGGTCGACAGTTATATCCGGGATGTGCTAATCTCTTGGTGGAGGCGTACAAAGATGCAACTAAGCGTCCCTTCGGTTACCTGGTGGTGGACACGTCACCACGAGGCGACGATAAATTTAGACTCAGAACAGATATATTTCCGGGAGAGGACCCTACAGTATACACATGTTTATAAGAATAAATGTTGACCTTTGGTATAAGATATTAATGATGACTTCTGCTGTCAGACAACAGAGACATTTTTTAGAATTTTTGCTTCAGTCAAATCCCGCACAAAGAAAATTGATTTTAAGTTCCATCACCAGAGATCAATTAAACGTGTTGGGAGAAATAGCAGCAAACGTCATCCATAGTGTTATTTTACTGAATCCAGAAGAGAAAAAAGCTCTTAAAAAATACAAATCTTTTCTCCTCGTACTAGGCGACAAAAAGGCGGTTAAAAGAGTAAAAGGAGGTTACTTGAAAAGAAACCAGCTCGCCATCGCAACCTTGTTAAAAATCGTAAAACCTTTCCTGAAAAAATGGTGGACGTGATGCAGAAATCTGTGTTGATACCTTACGAGAAGTACAGCCGTCTCATGACACTCCAGGAGACACATCGCGCGAATTCCGAAGCAGACGCGGAGAGAGACGTGGCAGAAAATGTACCTGAAAACACGATAACCCTACCACACCCGGAGAAAACACAGAACCTTGACATGACAACTCAGACCGAATCCGAGGACTCGATAAAACCTGAAACAACATCAGCCAATTTATCTACGAAGGAATCAAAGGGTTCGCTAATCACAGAAAAGCCAGTGTTCAAAAAGACAATTGAAAATAAAAACATTAAAGCAAAATCTCGTTACAGACTTCAAACAACGTGGATTCGATTTTAATATGTGTACACTTTCTGAATTAATAAATATATTTCATTTGATTATATCAGAGTTGTTATTTATTTATTATACTTTTAAATCTCACTTATCAATTATCATTTTAATTTCTTTTAAAAGAGACCGTTTTCCAAAGGGAATACAAATTCCTTTTTATTTATCAATAATTATACAGTAATTATACAGTAATAATATTATAATATTATTCTTTAATACATGTAAGTTTTACAAATAAGATCTATAAATAAGATCCCGTTTGAGAACACACATCGGTATAATTATTCAGTATACATTAAGAAAGGATTCGTCGTTATCATATTTTTTTCAATAATAGTTTTATAAATAAACTATCGTCTGAATACATGAAACAAATTTATCAACACTATAAATGATTTAATCTAAGTTTCATGTCGTAGTATTAATCCTAATCATTGATTACGACCACCCCTTCTCGGCGTTAATTACCTTCCTGTTTGCTACGTCACGATCCTCAATCGTACCGATCCTCAAAGTGGGCTATAATGTCCCCCTCTATACTACTTATATCCTCAAAATAAATTAAGAAAAATAGAGAAAACTTAGTTATTTATGTCAGTTTGGTAATATCATGTGAAAGACACTATATGATAATATCTTTTTTATGGAACTAGAAAGACATGTAATCTTTTGAAATAGAAGTAGTTATCGCATCATTGGCAACAGTAATTTTATTCTAATTTATCTGAAAAAAAAGATTATGACATTGACCTGACCTTCCGTCTAATATAGATGGTCAAGTTAAATCTAATTGATATCTTCTCTTAGTGACAGTTATCTAGATTCTATGAAAATTTCATTCATTTTTTTTTATACTAGAAAAAAAAGAAGAATCATACCCTAAGAAAACCCTATATTTTATAATATTTTAAAAAGAAAATATTTAACTGTTAAAAGTTGCATTTTTTCACTTTTCGACAAATGGTGTGGCTTGACAAATCATGAAGTCGTTTATAATTAACTAAAACATACCACTTCTAAAAAGAGTGTTGCACTTAATTTAATTTTTTGAGTCTTATTCACTCATATCCTTTTACTAATGATGTCCTGTAGGATTCAGTGTTTTTCTCCATTGTTTGGATTTGGATGTGGGTTTGTTTGTTTGTTTGCTTTTAAATATTTATTAGTTGATATTCTTTTGTTAAGCAAAGGAAAATGTACTTATTTGTTTACTTATTTTCTTCTCAACTTAATGTGTGCTGTATTTTATTACTAAGTATGTAACAAACAGAATAATACATATTACCCTTTTCCACATCACATCATGTATCACCCCTCGACCAATATCATTCGGCCCTCTATCTAATATTGGTGTCTCGGGCTGATACAGTATGTGATATGGAAAAGGGTAACCGTATTATTATTCTCTACATATTAACTGTGGAAAAAATAATATTGATAGCGCTGTAAATTGTACATTTGTACTAATCTAGCATCAACAGCGTCATCAGTATTTAAAAAAAATCATCCCATTCAATAAGATTGTTTACCCGATATCCATTTATAAAAAAAACATGCATTTTAAACGTATGTTTTACTTGTAGTTTATAGACCTATTTGCATAGCTGTTATTTTTGTAAATTAGGTAAATATACTTCAGCAAAATGAGACAAAAAAGTTATCGATGTCATATTTTTTAATGCAGTTGAGTACATTGCTAATTGCTACATATTTCTATTAGGTGCTATGAATCATGACTGGGATTGCCTACTGCGTTCGGCCAAACAAAACAGTACTAATACAATGGTAACAGGGGTAGACAGTAGTATCCTCTCGGCCAGAGTGGCATACTTCTACAATCTACTTGGTCCAGCGATGACAATAGAAACTGCTTGTTCTTCCTCTATGGTTGCCATACATACAGCATCACAGGCTTTACGTAACGGTAAGAGGGAAAAGAAGATATTATCTATATTATAAGTACATTGTACATCAAAAATATCTCAGAGGGAGTGAATTCAATACCTAATTTAATTTCTTATATTTTCATGTAAAGTACTGAGAGGCACAATTCCTGATAGCTCACATGAGAATCATGTAATAAATTGGATCAGATTAAAACCAAAGGCTACATGTATGACATTCTCAATTTTGAAAGAGGCACCATTGGTCTTAATTAATAACTATACCCTAAGCATACTTAGTTTGGTTTTATTTGATACCCATAGGTACGAGTACGAGAACCAAAAATTCACTTCAAGTAATCAGCAATAGACAGCAGTAATCATATGGAGCCCCCACCAAAAAGGAACCCATGACCCTGGGGCCACACATTACAAAAGAAATTCAAAGAATTAATAAATTTTCAATACATAATCAAAAGAGACCCATCCTTAAAACCTTAAACTAAGAATATAAACTGAAATATTTCAATTTCATTTGTAACTCACCATTTAATTGGGTAAAAGATTTAAGCAGGCGGGGGTTCAACAAATTAACCACCAATTTTGAATTAATTTTTTAGATATAGTATCTTAAATTGTCAAGTATCATTTGGCAAAGAAAATTTCATACATTTTAGTTTTAAACTTTGAACATTTTTATAAATCCTTTTAGGTAGATCTTATTCTAAAGGAGGTCGAAATAGCCTGAAATGGCCACAACCCCTTGGCCCCTTTAATCCATTACGCATGCCTTGAGGCAGTTCACGCTTTTATATAAACTGCTTCGCGGTTTATAAAGCTTAAACTGTCTCAAGTGATGTTAAATCGTGTAAGTTGAAATAAGCTTCATTCCTGAGGTGAATGTGAGTTACACACGGTATAATTTTTTTTTAAAATCTCTATTGTAGTTTTCACATAATAAAACTCCAGTAATATCCCTTAAATTACTCCTCGTGTACATTTATTTTAAACTTAAATAAATTTTAAAGTAATTTTTAACTTAGAAATATATTTCCTCCTTTTCTATTTATTTTTAAAAATACTTTTTACATGTGTCCAAAGATTCTGAAGATATTTACGTTCGCATAGTGTCGCATTCGGTCTGTTGTTTTAACAGCTACATGTAATCACGTACAAACATCCTTATTCTATCTGAATGGCCATTTTATGTCCCCTAATGAGGCTCGCTTTTGTCAGCGTTGATGGAAATTCAGAAATCTTTAAATAAACCACCAAGCAGTATGGTTAATTATTACAAAAAATAATAAAATAAACGGAAATTTTTATTTTGCCCACTTGAAAAGAATTTCCATACAATTAATAATGAAATCATGAGGAAATTAAGGTTTTATTTGGTTTATCGAAGTAGTTGTTATTTGATCAATTACTTTGGTAAGCAGTGTTTTACTAGTTAATAATTATTTTAACTTTCACTTCATGCTTCAGGCGAGATATCAATGGCCATCGCTGGTGGTGTCAGCTTTATTCTCGATCCAGAAAGTTTTATAAACCTATCATCTGCAAGGATGGCATCGCCAACAGGAAAATGTCATACGTTTTCAAAAGATGCTGATGGATATGCTCGCGGAGAAGGGTGTGGCATCGTTATATTAAAGAAACTTGCTGATGTAAGTCAAGTATCCGATACTTTGCATGCTACATTCAGTAGTGAACATGTATGTCATATTTCTTGATGTAGTTTGGATGAATCGATCTTATTGAGAGTGAATAATTTAATTTTAATTGTAAAACGTCATTTGATTGGGTAAAACATTTAATCCATTTTGTAAAACATAACTTCCCTACGTCACAATGAGTAACGTCAAAAACGTATAACTCCGCTTGATGTTACTTCTAAAATATGCTAAAGGAGTATACATGATAAGAGCCAAATTTGGCCCCCTAAAAATCAACATTTTAGAATGACATTAAGATATGTTTAATTGAAATTTATTTTGTAGAAGAGATTATATCAGAAATATTTCCAATATATTTTTCAATTTATATGCACTCACTAGCTGTAAATGACATGAGAAATAATGCTATTTTTGCTATCTAACAAAAAAAAGCCCAAAATATGCCTTTTTCTTGATGTTTTTTTCTTATGGGTCACTAATTAGTATTGGATAGATACATCTTTGGTAAAAATATAAATTTGTTCTTGGCTGCGCTCTATATTTTCTGGAAGAAAAACTCCTTGAAAATGAGCAGTTTTATACAAAATATGCTAAAATGGCGGGAAAACGTGATTTTTATGATGTCAAATTTCTAAAATAACGGCATTTTGAGCAAAATGAAAATGACCAATAAAGGTCACATATATAACTGATTACTATACAAATTAAAGCTATATATTAAGTTAAATTAAGATATTTATTTTAAGGGGCCAATTGAGACACTTACCATATATCGCTCTTTGAAGCCTTTTTCTGGAAGAAAATTGGCTCATTGTCTTTACGGATATTTAATAATAAGGAATGACGATTATTTCAACTTTTAATTTTATACGATATAACTTAACTTGGGGCAATTTACTCTTTTTTAAACTGCTTCAAGGTTTATAAAGCGTAAAGTGTCCCAAGTTATGTTATATTGTACATGTATAACAAAAGTTGAAATAAGCTTGATTCATTAAAATGTTTTCCAATTCAAACACTTTTACGATTATCAAATTTGAATGTGAAAGCGCAAATCAAGTAAATTAATTCGTTTTTATGAAAAGCAGATATTTAAAAATTCTTAGGATTATTTTATCTGTATTAGTTTATTAATGTCACTTATCGTTGTTCATGTCTTTCAAACGTGCATTGGATAGCCAATCGCCGTTATATACGAGGGCTGTTCGGAAATTATTGAGACAATCACATTTACTCCATAAAGGACAGAGATACTTTGATGAAAATTCATCGACATTTTATAAAGAATGAATAAAACACTTATGCAAAATTTCGAATTCCTAATATAATAAGAAAAGTTTCGGTTAAATGTTAAACATGCATATGTCCATCGACCCGGAGCAGCATCACTACGTCATTTAACGTCACTTCAGCCGAAGATGGTTTCGCATGTAAAATGATCGGGAAGCGTTTATATATATAATACATTTCCTTCGTTATAACAGTACAAAAATCAAACGGTCTCTTTCCTTAAACTATTCCTTAAAAATATAGGCTGTTGCTACCCGAATATAACAATATCATTTGTGTGAAAGGATGACTTAAAATAATGCAGTGACGATTTATGCAACGCGGGTCAACGATATTAATACCTTAACGATATTTAAAATATCGTACGTAATAACTGATGGTCGTTCGGAGCTTTCGATTTTACTTTGGTTGAATTATTTTTTTAAAAAATGCATACAAATAAATAACAAACCCTAATACATATTTTCTCGTTGTTATTGTTTTAACAAGTCGTTGAGGCTGGAAAAGAGTTCTACATTGCGTTACAAAAATTTTTAGATATGTTCGTTGCTCCGCCCTTGACGTCAAAATCCATTTTTTCGTTCTTAGCACATTTCTCTACCGCGCTTAATTTTTTTTTTCTGATCTCCGTTTTCCTCATCAGAATTCTAACAAAATTGCACAACATGAATTTGAATTAAAGCTGAAAAATTATACATATTAACAGAATTATTTTCGCTCTTATTATGGGTCCACGAAGAGTTCGAACGTTGGTATTTTCAATATCTGATTTCGAGACTGCTCCGGGTACCCCTACTGATGACGCATTTATATACAACTGTACAGAAAATATTTAATATTTGTAAAATATTTTTTGCTTCTTTTATTTCTTAGTGTATGTCAAACGTATATGCAAATTTTCACCGAAAGATGTTCATTAAAAAGCAAAATATACACAATATATGTCTCAATAATTTCCGAACAGCCCTCGTAGAGTTTGTTGATAGTTAAAAAATCCTAAATGTATGAAAATCAAGAAAAAATGCTGTAAGGAAACAAATTTTCTTTTGATTGATATCTTGGATATGTGCTGAATACAGTTCTGTATTAAAAAATATCGGACAGTTTGAGGCCCTTTAGCAACATAGTTTTTTAAATCTTCCTTGCAATGCATAAATTTATATTAAGTTTAACTAACATGTTAATGGTTTTTTTTTTCATTTAAAGGCCATCAAAGACGGAAATAAAATATGGGGAACGATTTTTACATGGCTTAATCAGGATGGCCATTTGAGTTCTCCAATAACTTCTCCATCCGGTGAGCAGCAAGAAAAGCTAGTGGAAACAATTTACAGAAAAAGCAATATTCCACCAAGTTCTGTGCAATACATAGAAGCCCATGGTAAGCAGCATTCATCGTGTTCATTTGATTAGGATGTATTTTTGCGATAATCTAAATTCATATATCGTTCTCAAAAGGCAAACCAAATAGTACCAAAAAATCGGAATGAAATAAATCAACAGCCTCATGTCTGTATATTATATTGTTATACGCTCACTAAAGTATGCAGAAATGTTGCAAAAAGTCATTTTATATTCCTCAAGCAAACTATATTTTCAACGTTATTTTTGCCAGAATGTAATTCAAAAGGAGCTTTAAGTTACAGAGATTATTTCAAAACTAATATTGTTCTCAGACTACTTTAAACATCATGCTGTGATGTTATTCTTTTGTTGTTGCAGTCTTAAAATATTTGCCTGTGGCAATCTGAAATTAGAGATCAATAATGCATGTCATAATAATTTAAGAGGGTTTGAGTACTGATATCCTTCAAAACTTTACTGTTACTGAACAAGAGACTATAAAATGTGATAATTAAGTAAACACTAGTTTTTAGTTACGTGTTCATATTCGTAATTTCTTTTCAAACATAATTTTATTTACCAATCATGCAGACTTGAAAAATTCAAGAAAAATGACTCATTCTAAAAAAAAGGAATTGAATCTATACATGATCTCTCTGAAATTGTAATAAACATATTCAAGTTTTGTTTTCATTCAGTGTTAAAATCTTATTCTGGTATGAAATTCATAAACATCTATACTGCAAACTGGGATGGTAAATTGCTCATTATTATTATAGAAGAGTTCTTCATCTGGTTGTATGAAACATTATTCATATTACACATCCAATTCTGTTCAGGCCTTTTTTTCATAATAGATATTCATGAAGACCCCACTTCCACAATTCCAAACAAATACCCATAATAATCAAGCTAATTTTCAAAATGAAGATTTTTTCAAGCAAACATTCTTGAAAGATGAAACTTATGTGGAATCATCCTCAGGTAGTGTAGATTCAAGTTTGTTAAAATCATGACCCCCGGAGGTTGTGCGGGGCCACAATGGCTGACCAAAGTTTTACATAAAAATATATAGGATAATTCTTTAAAAATCTTCTCATGAATAACAAAGCCATGATTGATCATATTTATATGGAAGCATCCTCAGGCAATATAGATTCAAATTTGTTCAAATCATGACCCCCAGGGGTAAGGCGGGGGTCACAATGGCTGACCAAAGTTTTACATAAAAATATATAGGAAAATTCTTTAAAAATCTTCTTCTCAAGAATAACAATGCCGTGATTGACCATATTTATATGGAAGCATCCTCAGGTAGTGAAGTTGCAAGTTTTTTCAAATCATGACCCCCAGGGGTAGGGCGGGGCCAGAATGGCTGACCGAAATTTTACGAAGAAATATATTGGAAAATTCATTTAAAATCTTCTTCTCAAGAATTACAAAGCCATGATTGGTCAAATGTATATGGAAGCATCCTCAGGTAGTGAATATGCAAGTTTGTTCAAATCATGACCCCAGGGGTAGGGCAGGGACACAATGGCTGACCAAAGTTTTACATGGAAATATATAGGAAAATTCTTTAAAAAAAAATCTTCTTCTCAAGAACAACAAACCCATGATTGGTCATATTTATATGGAAGCATCCTCAGATAATGTAGATTCAAGTTTGTGCAAATCATGACCCCCGGGGGTTGGTTGGGTCCACGCTGGCTGACCAAAGTTTAACATAGACATTTTTAGTAAATTTCTTTTAAAATCTTCTCAAGGATAGGAAAGCCATGATTGGCTATGCATGTATTTATATGGAAGCATCCTCAGGTAGTTTAGATTCAAGGTTGTGCAAATCATACCCTCTCCCCTTTAAGGAATGGTTGGGACAATTTTTGGGTTTAAACTTTCAATAATAAACAAAGTTCTGCTTTTATGCTAGTCACAGTGCTCAGGTGAGCAATGTGGCCCATAGACCCCTTGTTAGTGTATGGCGCGTGGCATTTGGGTACAGTCCACTAATTGTTTTCCCATAGCCGACAATGTTAACGTTTCTTCTCATAGCGATGTCCCTAATTTTCGTTCAGAAATGAGTGACCCCTCAAATCAAAGCACATCAACTTGTCTTTCCGTGGTTAAAATCTCGAGGTGGCATGTCAGATTCGTTTTCCGCAAAATGCGTCTGTCTGCAGGAACCTCTAAAAATGAAAGTGAAAGTAGGGGAATTTCAGAGTTCTGACTGGCGTTATAATACACAATATAATTCGGCTGATCTTCTTGATAAATTACATTTGCCAAGCTTTTTTGGAAGGAGAGATACGATACTCCTTATCAACAAGTGTGAGGCTCAGTTTAGTACATCTGCCCAATTTTTTATGCAAGTATGCAAATTAAGGAACTTGTAATTTTTTCTGCACTACTTTCTTCTCCTACCGATTCTAAAAATAATTAGTGGGATGTACCCATTTACACCTGAGAAAAATGTCCAAAGACAACACTGTGTCAGTGAATAGAAATCACTGTTGTTTACTTCCAAAGGGAAAATACATGTTAATAGCATGTTTGATTTAACCTAACTTTTAATATGTAAAAAATACCTGAAATTATAACAAAGTGAGTATTATGCTGTAAATTTCTATTTTTTAGAATATAGGACAGATCACTCTAATTGCAGAAAAAATATCATAGAATCAGAACTCTTTTGTGTGCAGTGTAGAGTGGGTTCTTATTAAAATTATTAAAATAATGAAGTACAGAATTAGTTATGTAAAAGATAATATGAATCATATAATTTTGAAAAAAAATTGTTTCAGGAACTTATAGAATTGAGAATGTCTTTTCTCAGAGTGGGGGATTGCATTGCATTGTAGAACTCTATTCTTTTGAGATTTTTAGGTTACCTGAGTAAACTCAGGTGACCTATTGCTATCCGTTTTCGTCCGTCGTCGTGCGTCGTCCGTCGTGTGTTAACATTTGAACATTTTCAGCTTCTTCTCTGCAACCACTGAACCAATTTCAACCAAATTTGGCACAAAGCATCTATGGGTAAAGGGGAACAAAATTGTGAATCTCATGATCCCTGCCCCCCAGGGGCCTGAGGGATGGGGCCAAAACCACTAAAATTAATGCAATCTTTAAAAATCTTCTTATTTACTCCTAGACATCAAGCAGTCACCCCGTTTGTATGATTGTAATCAGCATTGAGTCCTCTACCAAAATTGTGAAATTCATAGCCCTGAGGTCAGGGGTTCTTGTGCTAGGGCGGGGCTAAATAAGTATTTAGTGCATATACATGAATTCTTTCAAAATCTTCTTCTCTGCTCCTGGGTATTGAATAAACCAACTAAGTACATAGTTATGATGAGCAATAGTGCTTCTACCAAAATTGTTAATGTTATGGCCCCAGGGTCAGGGGTTCTGGTGTTAGGGCGGGGCCCTGTAGATTATATAGTGAAAATACATGGATTCTTTGAAAATCTTCTTCTCTGCTACTAGATAATAAATAAATTACCTAAGTACATAGTTATGATGAGCAAGAATACCTCTTCCAAAATTGTGAATTTTATGGCCCCAGGGTCAGGGGTCGTGGTGTTATGGTAGGGCTCTATTGATTATATAGTGAAAATACATGAATTCTTTGAAAATCTTCTTCTCTGTTCCTAGGTATTAAATAAACTAACTAAATGTATAGTTATGATGAGCAAGAGTGCCTCTACCATAATTGTGAATTTTATGGTCCCATCATACTGGGCTGCAAATGTCTTTCGACCAGTTCTTTTTCGCCATGCAATACAAGAAGCAAAGAAAATGAACCCAAATGCTTTGTTTCTAGAAATTGGACCAAGTCCGGTATTAAGAGCGCATTTATCAAGCATATTCCCCGACTCGGTGGAAGAATCGCTGCCTTCTATGAAAAGAGACTATGAAATTGACATTTTTCGAAAAACTCTCCTAGACATATTTGGAAAAGGCATTCAAGTAACATGGGAAAATGTTGTATTACGTACGACCAACATACTTTCAATTCCCAAATATCAGTTCAACAAGAGAAAGCATCTTGTAAAATCTGAGAAACTTCAGAGTTTACTAAGTGGAGAGGAAAGTAATATAAATAAGATGCTAATTTCACGCCTTCCTGGAAGTTCAGAGCAGTTTAATATGCTTATATCTCATGAAAATACTCCATTCATCTATGAACATGTTGTGGATGGAAGCACAGTTGTCCCGGGTGCCCTGTATGGTGAAATCGGACTAGAAATTGGACACTATCTCCTTCCAAACAGCGAAATTACGGAATTCGATATTTCATGGTCGATACACAGGGCATTTTTGGTCAAAGACAGTGAGCAGACTTTAGTTATTAAATCAAGACAAGAAAGTGATAACATAATCTATTATGAGGCATATGCTTCAGGAAATAAATTTATGTTGTCTTCAGGAAAGGTAACTTTCAATAGGACACCTCCAAAACCAGTTCTTGATGTTCAAAGACTTAATTCATTGCTCAGCACAGAGTCAGAATCTCACATTGTATATATGATGTTGCAAAGTTTGGGATTTCAACATGGTCCTATTTATCAAACCATCAAAAAGTGTGTGATTCGTGACAGAGAAACCATCTGTGATATTCGTATTTCAGATGGGGTAATGAAAGAAATATCAAGAACTTGCTTGCATCCTGTCATTCTAGATACTATGTTTCAGTCATGTTTCGGAATAAATGTCGGCAACGGAAATGGTCAAAAAACTAGAATCCTACCAATCAAAGTCTCCCATTTAGTTGTGAGACAAAGACCATCACAATCTATGATCTGTTATACAACTCCTGTGCAAGACGATGCTATGAATGCATCTTTTAACATACTCCTACTACAAAAAAATGGAAGCATTGTAGCAGAAATGATGAATTTTAAGGTGGAAAAAATTAATTCACCTGATGACCTGCATTCTCTGTCTTACCATGAATCTTGGAAGCCAGTCCAACTTCAAGGGAAAACATTTACTGAAAGGTTCGTCTTTGTACTTTCTTGGAACAGTGAATATCTGTCTCTTGTTGAGAATACATTTCGTAAAGAACATGGAAATATAGATATATGTTCAATAAGTTTAGCAAAAACGTCTGACAATGAATTCTCAACTCTCCAGAAGAAAGCAGAATCGCAAAGCATTTCTGTTATATTTGCCCCAGGACTTCCAGGTATCGACGAAAATACAACTGGAAGATGGCTTAGTGATACTATCAGAAGAACAACTCAGGTGTTTCTTCAACTTTTAAAAGCAATTTACAAGATGAAATCGCATATTTTGGTGGTAACAAATGAAACACAACCTTGCTATTCACCGAAAACACGTGTTATTGGAGCAGAGTTATGGGGAATGGTTCGAGCTGTGTCTCATGAAGGAACTGAACTCTCTTTTACTTTATTAGACGTAGATAGTCTCAGCGAATTTTCATTGATCAACATCAGTAGGGTGTTTGCAGGACTCGATGTCGGAAGCCGGCAGGTTCCAGATGAATATGCTATTAGGGGAAATATTATCTACACAAACGAAATAACAAAGTTATCTGAAAGTTTCCATACAAGACTATACAAGAAAAACTTTCAAAAAGCACCCCAACCTCTTTGTATACGACAAAAGTTAGAAGGTGATGAATCATCTTTCCTCGCCATGCCTTGTTCGAAAGAATCCACTAATCAACTTGCTATTTGTGTCAAACCAACAAATGTACTTGCATGCACAGAAGACACGTATTTTATTCAAAGTAACAATTCTCCAGAACTATACTGTACAGACACAAATATTAATGGAGAAAATATTAATGCATGTGAACTTATTGGTTTTGCAAAGATCGGAAACAAAGATACCGAAGTAATTGCCTGCTGTCATATGGAGCTAAAAACAGTAATGATGATTGACAAACATTGTGTTTTTGCAAAATCAGGCTTCAGCGGCTATAGACTTGGAGATATGCACGCTGTCATCATTGCATTGTCCATTGCTGATCTTGTAGAAAAAAAGTCAAATGTGTTTATCGAATATGGTGAGGAAACATGTACAATATTTCACTTTCTCTGCATCATGCTTAAAGAGAAAAAATGCAATATATCAAACCAAATGAAAGCCAATGGCAAAAAAACTCAAAACACCTATGCAACAGAACTTGTTTTATTGTCAGCTGATGGATACCTTGAAAAAGACACACTGCATATTTTATATCCAAATGTCAAACAGTGTATCTCCTTATCGGGTATCTTACCTAGGGATTTCTCGATGGATTCAAATTGTTCGATGCAATTTCAGCTAATTGATATAGCCTATTTATATAAAACAAAGCAGTTACGTGTTGCTTTGCAGAGGGCATCTCGAGTACTAATGGCTGCACTGAAAAAGAAGAAACCCAGAAACAATTTTCCTTTGCATAAAAGCTCGTTGAATGTTGTAGAAATTTCAAAAGATATTGAAGTAAGGACATCAAAAGAATTTCTCATCAGAGACGACAGCGCTTACATTGTGGTTGGCGGATTAACAGGCTTAGGTTGGTTGATTGTAAAATACTTAGCACAAAGAAAAGCAAACAAAATAATATCACTATCAAGACGTTCACCATCCAGTGAGTTAGAAAAGCAAATCCTCAATATAAAAAATCTGCATGGAGTAGAGATTATTCACAAAGAAGTTGATATCACCAATTTGAACAGCCTCACGAAGGTTCTACGTTCAGTTCAACAACAAATGCCAGATGTTCCCATTCGTGGTGTTTTGCAAGGTGCTGCCGTTATAAATGATAACACTGTGCCAAAAATGACAAAAGAAAAATTCGAAATGCCTTTAATTGTAAAGGTTCTTGGTACTTGGAATCTCCATCATCTTACAAAACATATGGACCTTGATGTATTTACTCTGCACTCCAGCGTAGCTTCTGTGTTTGGAAACTATTCTCAAACAAATTATGCTGCAGCCAATGCATTTCTTGACAGTTTTGCGTATTACAGAAGATCATTAGGACTCCCAGCACAAGTCATTAATTGGGGGGCCTTGACTGTTGGAATGGGGTCAGACCCCACGTTGAAAGACATCTTTTTTCATAAAGGGATTGGTTTATTGTCCGCTAGGCAAATATGCAATGCACTTACACAAATGTTCTTGTCAGATCAAATTCAAGGAATATTTGTAGATTTGGACATAAAGCGGTTCTTGACTTCAAATAACTTGAATTGGAAGGCATCAAAATATGCAGGACTAATTTCTGACGAGGAAGAGTCTGTCCCAAAGGTTGTTTCTGAAAGTGAAACAACATATGAATCCGGGGGAAACATGATCGACCTTATTAAGCAAATTTCAGCACAGGTTCTGATGATTGATGTTTCCGAAATTGAAAATACAAATACCCTTGCCCAATTTGGGGTAGACTCACAAAATTCTATTGAGATCATAAATACAATATATTCAGCTACCAAAGTAAGGATTCCTATTCTGCTCTTGCTGTCGGGGGATTTTACTATACAAGAGCTAGCAAATTTTTTGTCAAACAAGATGTCCGACAACAGTTCGGAAGAATTATCAAGTGGCAGACATAGTTCGGAGAGTACTTCAATGGTTAAAAGATACTATGAGAGTGATCAGTTGCGGCAGTCTGCCTATGTATTCTCCTTTACAATACCCCATGAAATAAACAACCCAGAATTTTGGAAAAGGGTAATACAGTTCCTGGCAAGGTTAAATCCAACAGTCCGTGTCGATGGCAGTGAATCAACTGGTCAAACAGATTCACCAAATGAAAGTGTTGATATTGAAGACTTCATCATTCCGTTTGAATTTGTCCAAACAACGAATGAACTCCAGACAAAATTGGCGGAAAATAGAGATATGCCATTGTCTGTGATTTATGAAGCTGAAACAAATAAAGCTCATCTTTATATGACATGTAGTCGGATGAAGTTTGATGCTTTTTGTGGGAAGATAATTCAAAAAGATTTACAAAAAATTGCAACATATATTATTGCAAAAAACCCTGTTCCTGCATGGCTTGATAAAACCAACGTTGATTTTCTTTCATTATATAGTAGTAAATTACACACTGTTGCCGAAACGTCGAAAACTTACTGGCAGCACCGTCTTCGGTTGTGTAAAACATCAGCCAGTTTGAAATCCAAATATCCAATGCTAGAGCATAAACACAATGAAGGCAAAATATCACTCGCAATGATTGATCTAAACCAGCATAAAGATCTTTTATGTGAAAATGAGTGGACGATGTGCAACATCGTGTGTAGTGCATTTCAGATTGCTCTGCATAAAATAACTACTGTCGAAAGAGTCCCGATATTAATGGAGGTTGACTTGCGTTCACAGATTTTGGAATGTCAAGAACACATCCTATCGAGTTCTAACCATATACCATTAGTATCCCCTAACTTTTTTCAACCCGGAGTAACAGTTCGTGAGGTGCTTAATAAAAATGAACAGAAAGTAAAGGAAGGTATTGCTAACTGTCTTTATCCTTTTCCTGCAATTATGGAGCTCAAAGAATTTGATAGCAAATTGCACAAAACTCACTCTTATCTGTTCGACACAAGCGATATTGCTGATGAACAATATGTCAGGTTAGCATCAACACATATTGAAAAAAATCCCACCTTTGAAACACTGCTATATGCACTACACAATAAAACGGATCAGACTTTGAAATTAGAATTCCATTTCTGTCCAGAACGTGTTTCCACTTACACTGCATCCATATTGACTGAATCTGTGTCGAATTTCATCCAAGCACTTTCTGAGAATCACACAAAAACTTTGAAGCAATTGCAAATGCAGACCAAATTAGCAAGAGCGCCAATGGCATCTCCCAAAGGTAAGAATAAAATGTAAGGATCGTTGTATAGAGACTAGAAATACTTAAGAAAATGTATTATTTTAATAGAGTCGCTTTTTGTCTCTTTTTAAGCATCTTTTCTTCTGGTAAAAGAAAATGGCAACCGAAAAAAGGTTTTCATGGAAGTAAAACAGGGTACCCCGCCACTTGTTTCTTGGGGTCCAAATTCAAACAGTCAGTCAAAAATGACTGAAATAATGGACGTCGACATTGTCCAAGATAATGGTAAGTTATGCTATATAATTTTTTTTCAAGTTTTATTTAACAAACATTTTTTTACTTCCAGAATGAGTATGAAACAAAAGAAAAATTTGACGAATGTTTAAATTTTTATATGTAACAACGTAAGCTTTAGGAATATTTTGTAGACTATTTTTTAAAACTATTTCAAACACTTGAAAATAATATCAAAATATTGTTGTTAATTGAATAGGGATAATTTTATATTGTAATTCATCCGATTTGTAGGCCGTTCTGGACTAAGACTGTGGTTATTTGGAAGAAAAGCTATGACGTTTGAAACCTCAGAGGACCAAGTTTGTCAGGCATGGGTGACTTTTTTAAAACAACATCTGCCCCCAACTTCATTCAAAAAGCAAGAATTTGAGGAAAACGAAAACTATATTCAATCAACTGAATTGGAAGTTGAAAATACCTATCTATGAAACTCAATAGTATTTGTATTTCAAAGAAATAACATGTATAAATTGTATCTGAGTCGTTTCATCTGTAATGTTATTAATTTGGCTTATTTGAAAGAGGTGACTTTATGTTTTGTTAAACTTGCATTTTGTTTCCTATAAAAGAGCTAAAAACCCAGATGTTTAATGGTAATTTACACTTAAGAAAACTACGTTAAGATACATTAATTTACACAGGCATTACATTCTATAAATTATTTGTTATGATTTTTTTTAAAAAGTGTTGATAATTTCTTCATAGTAATTATTGTAGTTTTTAAATCCTTGGAAGTTATACAATAAGGAAATATTACCTCTGTGTGTTTAATGTGTACAATTGTTAGGGATAAATCACTTTAAATGACAACAATTATAATTTTATTAAATTAATAAATATAAGACACACTTTAAAGCAATATGAGCTGCATTTTTGAAAATTTTATTTAGCTGTTAATATGTGTTTTTTTGATAAATTTGTATGTAACTTAAATATTTATGATCAATTAGATTAAAATAAAACAGAAGAAAAACTTCTATATACAATCCAATATAGTTTGATGTAAGAAATCGTTATTGTACAGGACGACAAAAATGTAATTTTGATTCAATCGAAGTTTATAAATAGTTCTTCCATCGCAATTATGAACAACAAAAGTTTATTAACGTTATTTTTTCAGTAATTGAAAAAGTTTACAATTATATTTCAAATTTTTGCAACAAAAAATTCTCACATCAAATTTGCAGCTCATATTGCTTTAATATTTATACCGCGAAAAATATACTGGCAATATTTGGAATATACAGTGATATGGGTGTTTTTAAACTTGGCGCCAGTGTCTGCGAAAACATTGGACTGAGAAATGCTAACTTGAAATTAGATTTTGGTCTATCCCAACTTCACTCTTAAGCACAAGTTATAAGCACTGAACTGAAATACATATATCTGCTTTATTTTGGATTGTTTAAAATTTATATAAATCATTAAGTTCTTTCCAGTTTGTTTAAAGATAGAAAAATCAGACGATCATTTCATTATTATTAATTGGAAAGGGAGTGAACAAAAAAAAAATTACGGAAGTATTCATTGGTCGGATACCCCCTCCTCCTCCGTTTTCTGCTTGTCAAATATTTTAAATAAAGATTAACATATGATTATATTTTGACATCATGGAAATAATTGTATCTTGTATGAAGACATTTCAAGTCGGACACGAACAAAAAAAAAACATTTTACATATAAATAATGTATTTGAAATTCTTAAATAAATATTGTGTGTTAAATCTTACATTGGCACTTTAATTTGCACATAGAGTTGTGAAATAAATTTTAAATAGAATTTAAATATACTTTTTCAGACGTCTGTGTCGAATTTAAACTCCTCTATTCTTTATATTTCAAATCAGCTCTGCATAAACGTATTGCATATTTCTGTTCTTTCCAGTTAATTTTCCATGGTCTCAAATTCATCTTCATGTAAAAAGATCGTTTACTAAGCGGAGAAATATTTTATTTTTTTTTTTTACCCTCGCTGTTGTTTATTGAAGTCATTATTATATTGTTATTATTAATTTTCCTTTTGTATTAACTATCTTCAAGCATAAGTGATTCTATGGACATTTATGTCAGGAATATAAGTTATTGTTATCTCGTTTAGCTATTGCAATTTATAATTTCTACCATGTGCTATATAATCTTTGAATGTATTTTTTATTACGTACATATCATTTTAAATATCATTTTGAAAATCAATTTAAAATCCACCAATGACCTCTTTTATATATCTCACGGAAAAGTAACGCACTAAGAATTGATTATTTTGTATTTGATCGTTAATTGTTATGAAAACAAGAATAACATGCATGCATTCTGTTGTGATAACGGTAGAGGGTCGTTATTTTTAAAATTAAAGAAAATTGTTAAGTCATGTAATTGATGCAAATTGATTTCAATAAATTGTTCAATAAGATTGTTTGTTGAATATTTGGACCTGATATTCAGTATAAGACATGAAGTATTCGATAAATACCACATTTTGAATTTACTTATCTTTTTAAAAAAATACGAAGCTTCACATATTTGTTTGAAACAAATTAAGATTGTTCTTACTAAGTATAAAATACTTTCGGGAACATACCTGCTTAAAGGCAGGAAATACATCTTCCCTTGTAGTTCACCTATGCTGAAAGCACAAGTGAGATTTTCGGATCAGCTTTTGGCCTTTAAATAATCCAACTGTCTGCCTGTCCGCCCGTCTAACCAGTTTATCTTTTCTTCAAATTAACTTACAACTTCTTCAAAGCGATATCGCTCTGAAACGAGAGCGTTAAAACAGACAAAATCAACCTTTGACTTTTTGATCTTTGTGTTTTTGTGAAACCAAAAATATATGTCGGATCAAAAAGTTAATTAAGAGGTGCACAACGGCTATATGTAATAAAGATTCTGTGAAATGTTTATCACCGTGTAAAATGCAGCCCAAGGACATAACACCTTCTTCCCTTTCATAACCGTTGAATGTCTCTTATCAGAACAATTAAAGTGACGTTATTTTTTTACAATTAATCCATTAATTGATATCTATTTGTATTTTCACTCTTTCAATAATTTTATAGTTAAAATATTACTTTGGTATCTTTATAATAATTGTCATGTGAGAATATTTGGCAGTTGGAGAGCGACAGCCAAGCCGCTCGGACAGCTGACTCCCGACTTTGTAGATTTTGTTAAGTTTTAGGAGTTTTAATAAATTTGTAAAACGGAAACCGTTTTAAGCAATCTCTCTTCGTTACATGTTCATAAAATTTCATTCAGCAGTATGAGAGGACTCCGAGTTGCAGATAAATGATAGGTACCCAAAAGCGTAACAGACAGACTGAATGACGGACGTACAGACAGACGGACAAACAGATTACTATATACCCTTTCGTTTTTCAAGCGGAGTGGGGTGGGTGGGGGGATAAAGACCTTAAATTTGGTATGTAACCAACCAACGGTCCAATCCAAGGTTTATTTGCTACATGTATCAAGGCCATTATATCGTCAATTAAAACTAACAAAACTAGAGATACTGTGAGCAATGAGCTCACTAAATGATACCCACGCCTCCCATAAAGTCCATGTTTTGCTAAATATTGTTTTACGATTATGTGTAAAGAGGAATAACTCGTCCTATCAAATGTTATCCAGAAGCTTCTATATATGACGTCATAGGTAAACATATAATGGCAATGTCCATGTTTTGCTATGGGAAACCGAAAATACATGTCGAATTAAAAAGTAAAATAGGAGGTGCACAATGGCAATATGTAATAACGATTCTGTGAAAGTTTCATTAAATTTCACTCAGTAGTATATGAGGAGTTGCGGATAAGAGATAAAGCGTAACAGACGAACGGACGGACGTACAGGCAGACGGACAGAAATCTTGATTGCTATATCTACTCCCACATTTTTAAAGCGGGGGTATAACTGAAGGTACTGCGAGTTATGAGCTCACTAAATGATACCCCCGCCTTCCATATGAATATAATAAGAGTGTCCATGTTTTGTTGTGGGAAACCCAAAATATGTGTCAGATCAAAAAGTAAAATAGGAGATTCACAATGACAATATGTAATAAAGATTCTGTGAAAGTTTCATCAAATTTCATTCAGTGGTATGAGAGGAGTTGCGTATAAGAGATAGGTACCCCAAAGCGTAACAGACAGACGGACGGACGTACAGCTGGAAGAACATACCAATTACTATACACCCATCCGCTTTTCAAGCGACGATGTAATGAAGACTTTAAAGGACTCGGTAGGCTGTTTAAATCTCTGACATCAATTTATCATGCCTCGTTTAAATATTGATTGTACTCATAACAAGCTCTAGAAAAGCATATAAATTAGAAGTCACAAACAGCATAAACTGTAGTGATAGTTGAATATTACTATACTTAAATACGGAATGTTGACAATGACGATCGATGGAAAAACTAAAGATATAATAAGTTTGCTATATAATTTGTTTGTTAGTCTTTATTGTCTATAGTATAGTCAGTAAAACAGATCGACTCCTTTTTATACCCCCCGCTTGAAAAGCGGGAGGGTATATAGTAATCGTTCATTCCGTCCGTCTGTACGTCCGTCCATCTGTTACGCGTAAGGGTACCCATCTCTTATCCGCAACTCCTCTTAAACCACCGAGTGAAATTTAATGAAACTTTCACAGAATCTTTATTACATATTGCCATTGTGCACCTCCTATTTTACTTTTTGATCCGACACATATTTTGGGTTTCCCGACCACAGTAAAACATGGACTTTGTCATCAGTTATAACCATATTGGAGGCGGGGGTATCATTCAGTGAGCTCATTGCTCACAGTACCTCTAGTTTATTATATGTTTGAGTTTAAAAGAGATTTTTAGGTCACCAAAGTAAATAAAGGTGACCTATTGCTATCTGTTTTCATCCGTCGTCGTGCGTTAACATTTGAACATTTTCATCTTCTATTCTGGGATCGCTGAACCAATTTCAACCAATTTTAGCATAAAGCATTTATGGATAGAGGGGAACAAAAATTGTGAATTTCATGGTCCCTGCCCCTTGGGTCTTAGGGGTGGGGCCAAATCTACTAAAACTGATGTATTCTTAAAAACCTTCTTTACTCCTGGATATTAAGCAGTAAAACCGTTGACATGATTGTAATCAGCAGTGAGCCCTCTACTAAATTTGTGAAATTCAGTGCCCCAGGGTCAGGGGTAAAATTCCAGTTCTAGGGCGAGGCTAAATAGATCGTGTAGTGAAAATGCAATACTTCTTTGAAAATTTTCTTATCTGCTCCCGGGCGTTAAGGGGAAGAAGGACCTTTAGCTGAAAAAATACCTGTCCTTTAATTTTTTTCATATTTTGTAAATCTCTAATATAGTATGTCCTACATACCTTAAAGCATATATACCAATAGGTTTCTAGACTTATTTTTTGAGATATTGAGTGACTAATACTATACCTCACAGTGTCTAAGTGGAGTTTTTATTTTCAATGTTTCTTGGCCCATTAATCGGTCCATAATGGGTTTTTTTTTCAGTGTAGATAATAGATATGTCAGCTAACATGTGTCTTTTAAAATATTTCAGAGTATGAGTAGGGTTAAAAATTCGGTAAAGCAACATTCTTTTGTCACACCGCATTTGGAAACGGAAAATTACGTACTTTTTAAGACAACTTAAACAACAACAAAAAAATAATTTGTAAAAAATCCTATCATTCAATATTTGAAAATTTACGTTGAAATGCAAGGTCGTCGTGTTATTGATTAGCTGTAAAAATATCGATTAGTGAAGCTGAGCTCAATATTGCACAGGACATGGTTAAACAAGACATGAGCTTGAGAAAAAACGTGTCATGTTTACATTTTTGGA